TCAGAAAAGAAGGGTCTAGACCCGAAACGTCAGCTTTCCTGCTCCTCTGATGCTGCTTGGCCTGCTGTGTTCATCCAGCTCTACACCTTGTTGTCTCAGATTCTCTAGCATCGGCAGTTCCTACCATCTCTGCCTTTGTATATTGATTTATTTTGAAGTTTAAGGTCAATGTTGTAATCTTGGGGCAGTTGGAAGTTCCAATTTTCAATGTCCAATTGAAATTCTGGGCCTGGGATTGAATTATTCATTGGATTAAATGATTAGAGCACAGTTCTAGGTTCAGGACACTGGTTTTGATTCTCGGTTTAACTTCCAGGATTTACAATGCTTTTTTTTGGACAGCACAACAATGTGGCTACAGCATAATTATTTTATGGAAACCTAATATTCTCCAGACATTTTTCTGAAGAAGGGTCCAGACCCGAAATGTCAGCTTTCCTGCACTTCTGATGCTGCCTGGCCTGCTGTGTTCATCCAGCTCTACACCTTGTTATCTCAGATTCTCTGGACATGGTGGATTAATCAGCTGCAGACAGAATTTAACACTTACCGCATATTTTTTTAGGACAGCAGCTCTTATCACCAGCTAGACTAACCACTATTTCTCCAGAACGGTGACAGATGGGATCGGGGACTGAAGAGCAGTTGTGATCAACTGTAATAATTGTCCCATTGTCCAGGCACTGGTACATGCAGCATCCATCCAGTGAGGCATTCCACATCTCACCAGCTGCATGTGGTAATCCCCAAGTATCGGTGCAAGCTGAAAATGATAAAATGTATGTAATTACCTTCCTTGAGCAACAAGACAATTATCCATACAGTAAAATATGTTGACAGTTAGTAATCTGGTAATGTATGAGTCCAATGTCCCTGGTACTACAAATATCCAAGTTTCATATGCATTTATTTATAATAAAAGAAAGAATGGAAGATCATGTGGCTAATTCTTTACGGTTACAGGTAGACAAGATAATCTACTGTACCACACTTTTCCTCAGGTATACACAACGTGGAGTCTAGACGATGGAGGATGGTTCCTTCAGGACAAACACATCCCTCACTCAGGATAGAGCATGATACATCCTCAGATGGAAAGAAAATTCTGTTCTGGCAGGTCTTCGCTTCACATGTGAGTACACAAGCCTGGTATATCATGTTAGCAGGACATGTAAAGGCTGAAACAACAGTAGGAAAATCATTTGTTGCAAAGTTATTTAAGGTTAAGTTGAATTCACATATATTCAAAAATTCAGCAAAATATATTTCAAGTAAACAACAGTTACAATGAAAATTGAGATTAACCACAAATGACATTCGAGAACAAGAGAGGTTTTTTCTGTAATGGACAATGGTTTCTTAGTTGCCATTTGCCAAAGTTTTTAATTCCAGATTTATTTATTGAAATCAAATTCACCTGCAATGGTGAGATTCAAGTCATGTGCTTATAGTGTTAGTTTGGGTTTCTGGATTTCCAAGGGTAGGCAATAGCCTAGTGGTATTACCGCTGAACTGATAATCTGGAGACCTAGATAACATTCTGGGGACCTGGGTTTGAATTGCACCATGGCAGATGGTGGAATTTGAATTCAATAAAAAATATCTGGAATTAAGAGTCTAATAAACCCACTGCTGATTGTCAGGAAAAACCTATCTGGTTCACTAACGTCCTTTAGGGAAGGAAACTGCCATCCTTACCTGGTCTGGCCTACATGTGACTCTAGACCCACAGCAATATCGTTCACTCTGAACTGCCCTCTGGGCAACTAGGGATGGGCAATAAATGCTGTCTGGTCAACAATGCCCTCATCCCATGAATGAATTTTTTTAAAAAAGTCCATTAGCATTACCACACTGCCACAAACTCCTCTTCATTGACAAATTTTTGCAACTGGTTACAATGACAGTTAGTTACTGAAACATATTCACACAAGGCAGCAGATATTCTTTAATAACAAAACAAAAATTTATTAACAAAAGGAAAAAAAAACAATATATTCTTTTATTTTACAATTTAGATGGCTTAAACTCAATTCTAACAACTTGAAGACATCTTTACAAACTATCTGATCCTAAAACTTGGTTCTCTTGCTAAACTGAATTCCTGTTTCTTCTGAACTGAAGTTACAAGTTAAACTAATGGGCTCTAGTCTGCGTAAATTCAGCAGAATAAGTATTCTATCCATTAAAACCACAGGGGTCCTTGACTGAATCACATGCCTTCCAGGAAGAAGGTCACCGTTCCAAATGAATTTCTAAACTTATAAAAGAAATCTTTCAGAGAACAAACTAAGATCCATCTGCCTCTACTACAAAACCTAACCCCAAAAGGTAGGCTCATTACCAGAAGTCAAAATCACAAAGTTCTATGGACACTTTTAACCTTTTAGAGAGGGACAATTGATGCATTTGCAAAAGCTTTTGTGTAGGATCAATGGGATGTAATACCTAAAGGTGTCAAAGAAACTTCAGACAAGGACTGTGATCTCTGTTGATTACAAAGATAACGAGGAACTGACAGTGCCCTGCTCAACAGCAAGCCATTCCCTGTGGATTATTTCCAAACTGCAGGCAGTTTGTGTTTTTCCCTTTGAAGAATCCACAAAGACAGGGGTTTAAAAAGCCTATTCCAGCTTTACTTGAGTGGACTAGTAGGAATGCATACCTTTGTATGTACCATCCTGGGTCTGACAATTAGCTTGCTATGATTGTCACAGCCAAGAACTATTCCCTAGTTAGCCACGTTGCAGGTAAAAGTCTTCTCTAACTCTGTGTGCTGCCAATCAGTTAAAAATGAAACAGGAAAGCAAAGGACTCTTGCTTATCAGAATGCTGGAACTCAAACATGGTTGAAAGACATCAGAATTATAGAATCTCTACCAGTTAATTTAGGATTGTGAAACCAACCAATCACCTCCCAATGTCATTGCTGCCGGTAATCTCCACTGCAAAGTCAACATCATTCAACTATCCACTCTTTGTGAACAATTTAGACAGTAATTCATATATCTTTTTCCTTAACTTCTTTCATTTTCTTACAACTCATTTCTGATCTGTGTGCATGTGTGATGTGATAGCATTTCTTCTTGCATGTAGCAATTAATAAACTCACTCCTTTTGCTAATTTAAGAAAGCCTGCTTAAATTGGCTATTTTTACAATGTAAATTCTATCGTGTCTGGGAGAAAGGAAAGGCTCCTTTCAAAAGCAGTCTTGCTGCATCCAGCACTGGATGAATAAAGGAGGATAGCCAATTTATTTCTCCTCACCAGGGTTCTTAACATTTTGGTAATTCCATACACAACTGAAAGAAATTAGGGAACCTTGCCAGGGGTCTGATCACAACAGAAGCACACAAAAACGGCATTGAGGTAGGTTTATCAGCCATGACTTGCAATGGTGGAACAGGCTTGAAGAACTCATTGGCCTACTCCTGCTTGGTCATTCATACAAATTGCCAGCAAAGCCCACATCCCATGAATAAAGAAATAATGACCCTACTCCTCTCTCCATAATTGTCTCTGCTTCTCTACCATTTTCTTTCATTGGTTAGGAAAACAGACAATTCTGTATTGAAAAATTCAAGAACCTGACAGTCACAAAGGCACAGATGAGACATTGGCATTATAGTCACATTATCAGTTTGTTTTTTTGATTGTGATTTACATATAATTTGATTTGAAGGTTGATGTAAATGCCCAAGTAATATTACTCACCACATGATGCACCATTGTAACAATTGTAACAATTGCTAGTGGAGTAGGGACCGTTTTACTCACTTCTGGGTTTGTGGCAGTCATCATGCAGTAAACGTATGTCAGTTTATTTAAACCACTACTTACAGCAATAGTCTGGTTTCCTCCACGATAGGCAAATGTTAAATTTGTTACAGAGAGCCACATAAGCAGCCAGAGCAGAACAATGACTGTTCATAAACAATGAATCACGGATCCAGAGCTCACAAAACATTTCTGGTGAAACCTAGCATGAAAAAAAGAAATTCTTCACAGTTTTGCAGTTATGGTGATCTGTTGCATAAATAATGATCAACAGTGATAGACAAGATTTTATTGAAATATCTTTCATGACGATCACGAGATGTGATTTATTACATGAATTCAATATCAAATGTTTATTATTCTCTTTAATATGTAACTTTTTTTTAAAAAACTAAATACCAACAATTAAACATGCAAAACAAACTGTCTTGATTGTAAGTGATTAGTAGAGATAATGATGATACAAAACATACAGGTTTGTAAAATCATTAGCAAGACAGCTGTGGACTTCAAGGAGACATCGAGATGGGGAAGCCATACATATCATATGAAAGAGAAGTCAAAATGGCACTTTAGGAAGAAGAGTGAGAACAACCATTATAAACTAAATGGGACAACTTTGAAGGAAGTGACAAAACAGAGAGACCTGGGGAATGACATAGCTAAATCGTGGCAGGTTAAGAAGACAATGTAAAAGATAGGAGCTTTGGCTTTAAGATTAGAGACATAGAATACAAAAACAAGGCAGTTAAGATGGTTAGGCCTCAGCTGGTGCTTTGTGTCTTATTTTGATTATCAAACGTTAGAAAAATTGTGAAGGACTATAAGAAAGTGGAGAGGAGATTTACCAGAATTATGTCAAGGTTGAAGAACATCAGTAATAAGAAGAAATTTAAGATGCTAGAATAGATTTCTGGATAGATTCTGGGTGGCAGTAATAGTGTACATGAAATGCAGTACAGCCAAATCAAACCACAGCATCCCTGACAAACATTCACATCTGATCCTTTCCTACTGCATAATGCAGAAGATGGAGAAAGGACTCAAATACATCTGGACCTTTATGCAGTGCTAGTGCGTTCAATGGTCATTTACATTTTAGGGACAAAGTTGTATGATCAATCATTGCACTGAAAACATAATTAAAACTTTCCTCACCTTCTCTAGAGGTGTGTAATAATATCTCTGAGCAGGTGGATTAGGGAAGTATCTAAACCACTACATTGTGATGTTTGAAGTTGGCAAGAGTTTTTAAACTCACCTTTCAAGCAGTACCTGACTCCACAGCAGGTTTCCCCAAAGTTCATGAATTAATTTACCCAGCATGGTATCCACAGTCTACAGGTACCCATCACCTACATGAAACTAGCAATGACAGGGAAACGTGAATGTACAGAAGGGATTCAAATAGGGAACTCAACATCACTTTAAGCAAGGGTCTCATGTTGCGTCCACATTGGGTCACAGCATGGCACATTTTCCTTCCTAATGAAAATGCCAGGCAGCCTGAATCACAGACATATTTAAAATTGAGGCTCCGTACATCTCCTGTTCTCTCCAAGTACCTTTGCTTTGTGTCCGGAAATGAAAAATTTAGCGTTAAGATGCTTTGTGAAGTGATTGCTGAATCTTCTTAACGAAGAGCAGCAAATGATGTACATTTGATTGGGGAAAGCGAATATAAATTTTTGAACTATATGAGAAGAACCTTTGGTCATGATTTGTAAATAAGAGGCAAATGAACAGGTATTACATTTTTGCAGCATAGAGGAAGAAACCTTGGGAGAGCCAGTTATAGATGGGGATCATGACAAAGCAAACAAGCATTTTAGAAGGAATATCCCTTTAGAAAATACAGATAAGAAAAGGGAGGAAATACGTAGTGGTGGGATGACACTGTAGATTGTGAAAATAATGAACAATGATCTGGCAGACATAGGGTGAGAGGAATCCTATCATTCTTAAAAGATGGTGGAGAAGGAATAAGGATTGATAAGCTGAAATTATGTAGCGCATTGTTCTGCCTGATTGTTATAAATACATACTTGTGCATGACAGAGGGAAAACGTCTCACTCTGGAGCATTCTAAAGCATTCAGAACAGTTGCTTGTAGAACAGTTAACCTCAAAATGTCGACTCATCATCACGCCTGCCTCTGTGCTGGCCACCGTCCAGTCTTGAATAAAGGTCAATGGGTCATCATCTTTTTGAAGAACTGTGCCATTTTTCAAGGTTAGGTCATTTATTGGGTTTCCATCACAGTGACCTGTACGTATGATAAGAACAATTGTAGACATTGACTTCTCAAGTCAATGAATTATACTTTTTCAAGGGCTGGGGGATTAGCGGCATGGCATGTAGATAAGTGGAGTTGAGATCAAAACCAGTTCAGCTATGATGTTATTGAATGGCAGAGCAGACTCAAATGGTAGAATGGGCTATCCGGCTTAAGTCTGATGTTCCTATGTTTGTGTTATCAAGCATCAGAAAGGAAAAAGTAGACTAATTATGGCTAGGGTACTTCAGGGACCTTTATTTCTTATATTATTTAAATTTACTAAATTTGCTGCGATTTCACCCAATATCAAAGGAGATTAAATTATTATAAAAGCAAAATATTGTAGATGCTGGAAGTATGAAACAGCCAGAGAATGCTGGAGAAACTCAGCAGGTCTGGCAGCATCTGTGGAGAGAGAACTAGAATTAACGTTTCAAGTCCTGTATGCCTCTTCTTCAGAGAAGAACAGTAAGAGTAATGCCAGACTCGAAACATGAACTCTGTTTCTCCCACCACAGATGCTGCCAAACCTGCTGAGTTTCTCCAGATGTAAATTAATTCTGTTTTAAGCAATCATTATTTCATTTAATACTAGGTTCCAGCTATCACTACAATTTCACTGTTATCATTTACGGCATTTATTGTATGATGGCTCATGGAGGTTACATTTCAGGGAATCATACTTTGTATACCCATTTGTAACCAAAAAAAGGCTAGCTGAAATTATGACCTATGTAATAAGTGATCAAATATTTGAGAAATGCATCACAAAGGCATTCAATTCAGTTAGTATCACATTTAATTATTCAGTTTGAATTTGGACACCATTCACTAACCGGCAAAAAGCATCAAAATGCCATTCCTAGCATTTTATGTTGATTTGAGTTGCAATTTTGAAATTTTCCATAGTTTATGACTTATTGCTAAAAATAACCCATATTCAATATTGCCTCCACATAGAAAATAAATCAAGAGCATGTGAAAAATGTTATGCAATGACCTTTAAAGAACAAATTCCCCACACTCCAGACTGTAGTACAATAATCACATCATCATAATACTACAAGAAAGCTTACTGCAGAAAATAAACTGGTGAAAGGGATAACGTATTATGCTACCAATTAGAAGACTGGCAGAAAATAGACTGTATGCATAAATGGGTCATTTTCTGTTTGGCAGGATGTGGTGAGTGGACCAATGTTATGGCAGCTAAATTTGCGGACAACGCAAAGATAGACAGGAAAGTATGTTGTCAAGAAGACATAAGAAATTTAAAGAAGGATATAGATAAGGTTGAGTGAGTGGGCAAAAATCTGGTTTATGGGAAAATGTGAAGCTCTTCATTTTGACAGGAAGAATGGAAGAGCAGAGTATTATTTAATGGACAACAACTGCAGAAATCAGAGGGCACAGGGATTTACAGTTCTAGGGCATGAGTCACAGAAGGTTGATATACAGATACAGCACACAATCAAGGCAGCTATTGAGATGGTAAATATTTTATTATGAGAGGAATTGAACATAAAAATAAAAAGTCAGGCTTCAGTTACACAGAGCACTGATGAGATCAAATCTCAAATACCATGCAGTTTTTTTGTTTCTTTATATATGTAGGATGAGTGTTGGAGGATGCTAAGAGCAATCTTACTAAATTAATACTTGGACTGAGTAGGTTGCCTTGTAATAATATGCTGGTCGTGTGGGCTTGTTGGCATTGGAGTTTAAAAGAGTGCGGGATGAATAAAGAAAGGATGTTTCTGAAAAATCCAGGGATATTCCTCTTCCTGGGGCCTTCTGGATTATCAGCAGTGGGCATCGTTCCTGCAACTAGATGCCTTATTGGCATCAGCCACATTGGAGTTCCAGGGGATGTCTGACGAGTGTTGCCACCAGCTCTCCAGCTGGTGGAATGGCCCATCACCATGGATGTTAAATCAGCCCATTACTCCCACAGGTTTCCACACAGCGCAACCTGTTGACTACTGTTCCCACCTACCACCCTGGACTTGAATGGGATCAGCTAAGACTCCAGTAGAACTTATCCAAATAAGGAGCAGACCTTGAAGTCAGCCAGATCTCCAAGCTCTGGCAACCCAGATGCACAACCCATCTCAGGGCTCATACATCACTCCCAGCCCTCTGTTGAGCCCATTCTATTGCATCCTGCAACAAAATGCCTTTACTGTCTTTACCATGAAAGCATCTTGTAAGTAAATTTGAAAACAACATAAAATAACCAATGTTTACATACCACAGAGCCCCATAGTTGCTAGATTTGTATTGGATGTGCCTGTGTCGATAACCATAATCCCTGTATTGTGAAACCACTGTATGTGTATACCAGCTGGAGTCATGATTGTGTACATATTCCCAGTATCTATGATTTCAAAATCAAATCTTCGGAATGGAGTGTAGCTAAACCTCGAATTAATGCTCAGCTAAAGGAATATAAATAGAAATGTGATTTATGTACAGTTATTTGGCAATTAAAAATCAAATACATGATTTAATGTCTTTAAATGTGGTTGAATTGACTCGAAATCACATAGATTGTAATAGTTGCTCGATCAGTTCTACAAAACAAAGTATACAATGATTAATAAGTTTGCAAATTTAAATTATGCCTTTCCTCCCCAAATTTCAATATAATGAGCTGCTGTAGAATTGGTACTTTACAATGAAAAAGGAAAACATTGATACACCAGTGCAAAAATCATTTGTCACTTTCTCTTCATTTTCTTTCTCGTAAAAGCCAAACATTGTGCTAAATTTTACCATAGAGATAGGGATGGGTTCAGAGATGAGGTGAGGGCTGCTGGGGTGAGGGTTGTGTAGGGAAATCAGATCTGCCTCCAGATGATTGTAACAGGGGCCAATGGTTAGCTGCCATGGAAATCAGCAAACTGCTCCACAGAGGCAGACAGACAATGAAGACATCTAGTGTTCTACTGCAGAGCCACTCTCAGAACCCACTAATGTTTTCTTGTGTCAGACTGGCTCCTACCCTGCTGAATTTCAGTGATAGTTCAGAGCTGCATCAGTGTTCCCTCATACTTGTGGCTCTTTCATTAAGCCAGTATAAAAAGATAACAAACCTTGGTCATGACAGGTCACACTGATGGCTCTGCTTTAAGTTTAAATGTTCAGCAGGCTTCTGACATCATTCCCATTTTGGGTTACTGGGAAGCATATGGCTACTCCCTTCAACATGGATCGTGACATCTTTATTTTATGAAATCCTCAAACTGAGGCAGTAAAGGACACACAACGTTGTCCATGCTTCCACCAGGGCCATAGGGGAACAGACTTTAGCCTTCTTAAGATATGATTTCAATATCCAGCAGAGTCTGGCAGCATATACCAGAAAGGTGGACCACATGATTATAGCAAGCTGTGCCCTTCACAATTGAAGGAGACAAAGGGAGAGTGCAGAGATGCAGAGAAAAATCAGGAATTGACAGCAATCTTCTGAGGATGATGATCAGGACATTGACTGGGGGGGCATATCTATGACAGCACGATAGAATAATGCATCATTGAGACTCTGTGAGAACTAAGCTGTACCACAATGTGAGAGCTCGTTCTTGGATTGTAGCACCTGAAGAGATGCACAGTTTGGTTTTAAATATGGCACCAGCAGTGGTGAACATTTTCGCCTTTCTTGCTAAATGATTCCGTGAGATGGGGACCAAAGAGCATAGATGCAAAGGTGGTGAAGAGCAGCAGACTGTGAGAAAAGCCATTGCAAACAAGACACCACTTCACTTGACAAAACACTAACTTAGAATGGGAAAATTTAGTGCAATTTCCTTGCATTGGAGAGGTTGTGGAGGAGACTTTTTAGAATGATATCAATGATGTTGGTGAAATGCAGAGATTTGATAGATTTGGATGTGCTCTTCAAACCAGACAGGTTAAGGTAAGATTTAATAGAGGTGTTCAAGATTGCAAGAGGTTTTAATGGTGAAAAACTACTCCTACTGCCAAGGAAGTCAGTGACAAGAGGCCACTGATTTAAGACGATTGGCAAAAAGTTCCTGGGAGCAATGGGGAGCTTTCTTTTTGTATTGTGAGCCATGATCTGGTGTGCACAGCCTGAAAGGGCATTGGAAGTTGATTTAATAACAATTTTCAGAAAACAATTGGATAATGTACTTGAGAAGAATATATTTACAAGACAGCAGACAATTTTATTTTATTAATTTACAAGATGTCGATTTCGCTGACTGGGCCATGAATTCATTGCCCATCTTTAATTGCCCTTGACTAGGAGATGCAGGTGGCTTTCTTGAAATGGCACAATCTACTGAAGGTAAATATGCCGACAGTGCTGTTAAGAGGGAACTTCTAGGAATTTTACCAGCAAGAGAAAAAGAAGGGCAATATAATTTCAAGTCAGGACGGTGTGTGGCTTAGAAGGGAACTTGTAGACAATGGCGCTCTCATACCCTCCTAGGTGGTGGAGGTCATGCGTTTGGAAGATGCTGCAATGCCTCTTGTAGATGATACACATGTATGCCTCCGTGTTCATGTTGGATGGGGTGAATACTTAAGGTGCTAAATTGGGTGCCAATCCCAGGGGATACTTTGTTCTGGATGACAGCAAGCATCAAGAGATTTGGTGGAACTGCATCCATGTTGGTAAGTTGAGAGCAATCCATCATAATTCTGACTTGTACATTGTAGATGTTGGACAGGCTTTGGGGGTTAGAAGTTGTGCTATGTGATACAGAATTCCTAGCCTCTGACATTCTTTTGTTGCCACAGTATTTATATAGCTAGTCCATTCAGTCCTGGTTAATGGTAATCCCAGGATGATGATAATAGAGGATTTCATGATGGTAAGATTTTTTCTTATTGGAGATGGTCATTGCCTGGCGCTCATGGATGTTCCTGGTCTTGCTGCATTTGCTGCTTCAGATTTGGCAGAATTGGATTATTCTTCAAAATACTGGCATAGGTACCAGGAGCCAAATAAACCCCCTTCTAGGCTATATGATTCTTGTGTGCTACTATTTCATTGCATAGCATCTTAAAGCTCCATATCATTAGGACATTGATATCTTGCCATTTTGACAAATGGGCCTGACTTTAGAAGTAACAGTTTCTTGAGCATTGTTGCGAACAGTTACTCTTCTCAAAATAAAAGTACATTTCACATGTGAGGAATTCCCATGGAACTGTTTGACCACTGCACTTTCAACAAAAAGAAGACATTTCCAAATAAGTTATTGTGAGTTTCCCCTTTAAAATAAGTAAGCAAAACATCCAATCTGCAAGACAGAAAACAATACCTAGTTTTAATCTGTGCATAATTGCAAAATCTCCATATTCTGGGTTTAATTCACAAAATAAAGTGAAATGGCACCTGGCACTTGGGGTGTTGAACATTTCTTGACGAACAACTCCATCCTTTATTGTGAAAATAGCCATTATTTGAAAATGTATTCATGGCTTGGTGCACGTTCATAATCGTGCAAATCACATTTTGATACAATTAATTTGTCAAAACCTTTGCTCTTCAATATATAAATTGAGGATTACAGTGTTTTGGATCATGTGCTTACTGTAAATAATATTTCATGACTTATTTCTGCAGAGTAACTAATTTCTGCAGAGAAACATTTCAAGCATCAGTTAAGTTCCGATATATTTATTTTAATATTTTTAATATATAGGAATGAAAATATTCTCAGATCAAACTGTACTATACTGTTGCATATAATCAGTAATGGAAGCTCATGAACTTCAGCGTGATGATTATTTGTTTCTTGGAAAGATCATGCTGCAATTTTAAGAGTTATTAGAAACAGGCAGCTAGTTATAATTTAGAAATCAACCTACCCTTCTCAACTGCCTGTCAATAATGACGTGGTTTGATCCATGAGTTATGTTAAGCTTTGTCAGACATAGAAAGCTGGAGTTCACATGTGGCTGGATCATTGTTGTCTGATTAGGAGAGAAACAAGTTGATTAAACACTCAGTCTTTACTTTGGAAATAAATCAGTAAAGTACATGATGTAAAACAATTTTAATAAGCCTTTAATCATAAATCTCTTTACTTTAGAGTAATTACTCCTATAAAGAGGTGAAGTCACCATAGTTCTACTTGATCGTAGGAGGGTTTAATTAACTCAGAAATGCTGCTGAGCAAACAGTTCACCTGGGTTCCTTCTTTCTGCTGTGCGATCTAAATATTGTTTAGTGTAGTGCTCAGTGCTGTTCCATTTAATGGCCTGCTAACGTAATGTATGTTATAATCCTGTGTCTGTAGACCATGAAATAAGTATTCCAATGCATGATAGCATTCAAAAACTTGCACAGTTAGTCCCTCTGCATAGAATAAGTACTTATATTTAAGCTTATATTTTTAAATACGGGCTACTCTCTCATTAAAGATGGTGGTTTAACCCAAGAGTCACCATACCTCGGGTGAGGGGAGAGGTTGAGAAGGAGAGTCCTTCATGGTAACCTTAGCCAGTGAGGCATCACGCTGCATCACCAACCAGCTGTCCTGCCAACTGAGCTATCCAACCCCACTCTGATCACTCTGAGAATATTTTCATTCTGTGAAGCAGGATCGTGTATAAAAATGAATTACAAACTACAAAGCCCAGATTTTTCTCCATAAATTCAAAAACCTGAATGGAATGTTTCATGGTTCAATTGCTCAGAGTTGGACCAAGCTCTGAATATGATGTGATGTTGTAAAATATCAGTCCACATTGTGTGAGAGATAGTAAGAACTGCTGATGCTGGAGTCAGAGGTAACACAGTGTGGAGCTGAAGGAACACAGCAGGCCAGGCTGCATCAGAGGAGCAGGAAAGTTGACGTTTCGGGTTGTGACCCTTCTTCAGAAAATGTCCACATTGTGTGCTTTAATTCATCACAAATACTTCAAACTATGTGTTTCTGACTCAAAAACAAGAGTGTTTTGTGTTAATAGGAATACTAGCCTTTGTGATTTGCTGACAATGATGAAGTTATTGATTTTTCGCACTAACTTGGCCTGCTCCAGAGTGCCAAATTCATAACAAGTATTGGGCTGAGACAAGGTGAGTAAGTTCTCATTAGCCCAAGCAATGAGCAAAAAATAAGGAAATTTACTGTCAAAAATATTCAAAGCTATTTCAAACATATTTAAAAATGCAAGCTTAAATATAAATATTTATTCTGCACAGAGGGACTAACTGTGCAAGTTTTTGAGTGCTATCATGATGGTCTACAGATACAGGATTGTAACATGCATTACGTTAGCAGGCCACTAAATGTTGCAGCACTGAGCACTACATTAAACAATATTTAGATCACACAGCAGAAAGAAAGAACCCAGGTGAACTGTTTGCTCAGCAGCATTCCTGAGTTAATTAAACCCTCCAGATAGCAGAGATCATTGAACATACTTTAGAAGCATTATGAGATAGAGTATGGTATGGAATGGGTTAATGTAGAATGATGCTGAAATAAAACATAAAGAAAGCTAATAAGGTACCACTAGTATTTTCAAACACACGGAAAATCTGTAACAAGTGCTCTGTAGTAATCATTCCTTCCAACATTTTTACTCATAGATAACACTATGCAGCAAGGGCTTATCCAATGCAATCCTGGCAGGATAGACAAGACATAGTTTATGTTAGCAGGGTGCCTGATCTATACAGAAACCAATAGTTATGTGGTAAATGAATCTGAACCAAGTGACAGGAAATTAAACAGAAGAACTGCAGCTTAATCCAATTAGAATTCATATCCTTTTTGCAATAATGATGCTGCAGTTATCAGTTGAGAAAGGTCACATGCAGTTTGTTTAGATCCCAAGTTTGCACAATGGTTTGAATGAAATTTCACCATCTGAAACTAGTATTAAGATTTGGAATCTGTCCAACAAGAATTGCCCTGACCATTAGGGCACCAGGCGCAGGGTTAACTGGAATTGAAAAGTAGAAAGCCCAGCTCCCAGTCACAATTATACTCAATAATATATCCAAACCATTTGATTTGTAAGCAGATGGAAGTTTGTCACAAACTAGAAACAACACATGCGAGTCTGTAAGAAGCTGAACGGATAGGCTAGCAGAGTGATTGTGACTATAATACAATATCTTTGTCATTCCAAGAAAAGCTACTGCAGACAGAAGAGCTGTGCCTGAGGGGACTGACTCAAGAAGTTCATGACTGAGCTATGTCCTCCCCAACATGAAGGTTTGCAATCAGTCATTCAATGAAGAAAGGTCTAGGCCCGAAATGTCAGCCTTCCTGCTCCTCTGATGCTGCTTGGCCTGCTGTGTTCATCCAGCTCTACACCTTGTTATCTCAGATTCTCCAGCATCTGCAGTTCCTACTATCTCTCACTCAAATCTGTATCTCCTCTTTGATTTACATATTTCTGATAGCTACACATATTGGGATAAAAGACTTGCTTACAGGTTATCCACCTTGGGAAAGTAAATAAAGCCAGAAATGGGGATGCACAAATAAACTATATTTCAGGCAACAGTTTTAAGGTAAAGTTGTGAGAAGAATATAAAAGATTTATAACAGTAGAACTGAAAGGCTTGTTCTCTTTCCCAATTTCTCTCAGTCTCTCTCAAAGGACAATACCCAGTGGTAAAGAAAATTTGCAGAAATACTCATTCACTGAGAACTCAAAGGTATCTACAAAAATTGTTATTGCTGAAAATACAAGTCATGCCACATTTTATTATTTTTCATGGGGTTAGTAAGTAATAAAATTCCTTTCTTTCACATAAGCGAATGTTGTAATTGTATTCCTATTTAGTTCTGGTCAAATGGCAAGCTCAGCTTTAATTGAAATGTCCAACAGGTTTATTTGAAACCACAAGCTTTCTGAGCTCTGTCCCTTCATCAGGTGAATGGGCAGTGCTATGAAAGCTTGTGATTTAAAATAAACCTTTTGGACTATAACCTGGTGTTGTGTGATTTCTGATCTTGACCACCCCAATACAACACTGGCACCTCTACATCTTAATTGAAGTGTGATGTAACTGTATGCTAAAAATAATTTTTGAATATCAACATATGGGAGTTAAAATAAGGACAGCTCATTCATCCCTCTTTATCTGGTCAAAACAGTTGCCTATTGGGAATCTGCCACCAATCTAATGTTTTGTTAACAGGGGCATATTGAACAAAAGCAAAGAGCTTATCTTGAAACCAGTTCAACCTTAGCTGGAGGCTGCATTTTAGGAAGGACATGAAGGCATTGGCAATCTTCTAGAACAGTTATGAGAATGGTTCCAAGAATGAGAAACATTAATTATGAAGGTCTAATGAAGTTAGGATTGTCTGCTTGGAGAAGGTTGAAAAGAGAGCAAATGCAGTTATTGAAAATCATCAGGGGTCTGGCCAAACTACCTGAGGAAAAGACTGTTCCCATTCATGAAAGAATTGACAACAAGAGAGTACAGATTTAAAGTTACCTTCAATGAAAGCAAAAGCGATATAGTAAAAAGCTTTTGTACATGCACTAAGCGGTTAATGTCTGGCGTGTTCTGACTGAAAAGTTCAATCATGGCACTCAAAGAGAGTTCAACTGTTACTTGTAAAGGAATAACGTGCAGAGTTATGGGGCAATGGCATTAAGACAAACATTCATTTCGGAAAGCATGGCAAATGCAATGGGCCAAATGGTCTTATTTTGCACTGAGATAATTATGATTGACAGTGTATCTTGAATATCTTTTACAAATAAGTCACATTTCATGATTCACATGTTTCAGGAGTATAAGTTAGTATAAGGATTGAAATCTTCAAGTGTAAAACCCTGGTGGGGGGCTGGTAAACAAATCTAAGGTGATTAAAACTTAGTGGCCTGTGTTCATTTAATAAGGTCAGAGTCGGAAATGGGAAAATACTGAAAGCAGCGTCAGGAAAACACCCAGTTCCTGAAACCTGACTGAAGCAGAACTATCCCAAAGGTATGATTTTCATTCAGGGTTCTAAATTAAGTCAGGCCTGTTGCCCGAAACAACAGCATTCCCTTTTAGCCATCTTGCTCCGAGGTTCCATGCACACTGTTCTGCGTGCCAATACACTGACTTCAGTTTTCAAAGTTGTGAAGTGCACAGACCTCTGAGGTCCATGCGCCAAAAGAAGAAATTAGAGGAACTATTGCTCCAGCCCCAATGAAAACATGTGTGCTGGGTTGAGGGCCAGAATTTCCTTAGGCACAGGAGCAGACTCATGCAATAGTGGACATTTAGCCCCAGATACCTACAGTTGTCTTCAGACAAGGCCTAATTCGCATGGGCTCCCAGAACAATGGGAAAGTTTGAGAAAGGGAGATATTAAGTTTTAATCTCCATACAGAACATGCCATGTTTATCGCGTTGCTGAAGGAAAGATGGGGTTTTATCAATGGCGTTTCTCACAGAACAGGCAGTTGGAGCCTGGAATGGGTTTGAAAGCTGAGGAGAGGGAGTGAAATCTGCTAGTTGCTGTAGGTGAAAAGAAAATGGCTGTTAGAAACATGGGTGTTCTTTGATTCTGGAGTCAGTCAGCAAAAAGGCAGTGAGGGCTATGCTTTGTTTGGGGTGTCTACACTTAAAGAGACTTGGAAACGAACCTAGCCAGATACTAATGTAAGGCCCCAAGGAATCTCACATTTGGAGAATAGCAAGAATACTGAGGAAAATTGCATGTATATGGAGCAGAATCAAAGTGAAGTCCTGAAAGCTGTGACATACCTGGATTTTGTCAGATTGAAAGTGAAGGAACATTCAAAGATCCTACTGACTGTTAGGTGAAAATAAAAGTAGAATTTCAGCTTTAAAATGAACATGAAAAAAGCTGAAGCAATGTACCAGTCTGATCCAGGAAAGCCCTCTGTCAAGCAAAAGACTGCAGAATCTGTCAGCAGTTTATTATTGACAATGAGACACATACAAGAACTGCCAGACTAAATGTAGCCTTTTGCCATTCTGGGAA